GCGGGTCACTGTATCGCGGTATAGCCAGGGACGACTGTGTGCATCACTGGTGAGCACCCGTGTAGAGTTTTATAGGGAGTTTAAGAGAGTGGGAAAGGTTAGTAAGAGAGTGGGAAAGTTTATAGGAGTGTGGGGAGGGTTTATAAAGCCTTAACATATATATAAATAATACAATAAATATAATGCCGCTACTTTGCGGATTTTCGCCTATCTCGGGGGTCTCAGGAAGGCAACTCCCGGGACAGGTGAGGGATCACTGTAATCCGATTTATCAGAAGACGCGTTGGCTAGTGAGCATTTTAACTCGATCCAAGTTGGAAAAGTGGGTCTTTTACTGAAAATGTTGGTGGTGAGGTTGGCTCGTTCTCCAAGCAGCGCATGTGGGACGACCGCCCTTTGCTGTGTGTCCGTGTGTGTAACACACACGTGTGGGCCTGGCTTTTAACTGTCACCTTCAGTTCAGTCCCCTGAGATGCCGGTGAGGGAGGCTGACGTGAGGGCGGCCTTGAAGTATAGTCCAGCAAAGAAACGTGTTGCAGCAAAGACAGGAGCTACAAACCGAGACCTGTCGCTGCCTCAGGATCGGGATGGAGCGGGCAGATCCAGTTCCCTTCCCTGCGAAGTGGCTGTACCACCCGTTGCCCGAATGGGTCCCTCCGCGGTTCTGCCTGCGGCTCCGGCTCCCCCTGGTGGCCGCCCGGCCCCCCTGCAGTCTGCCTTCGGCCTCCTCCCCGAGACTCGGAGCTCCAGGGGCGCAGACCTGGGGCCTGCAGGTGTCCCCGGGCTTCACCCCGCAGCCGCCCCCCTCTCCCCCTCAGCTCTCCCGAGAGTCCCGACTCTGCCTTCGGAGCTCCTGCTGTGCGTCCTCTACTCTCCCCGCTTTGTGCCAGGCCGCCTCAGCCGCCCTGCGGGGTAAACTGTCACCGCCCTCCCCGACTGCAGCCTGTGCCTTCAGCCCCTGCGTCCTGCTTGGCCGCAGAGTTCGCATTTCCAAACCAGTGTCCTAGCCTCAGTCCTGGCCTTCCCTCCGTGTGTGTGTGTGTGTGTGTGTGTGTGTGCGCGCGCGTGTGTGTGTGTAAAGGAAGAACAGCATCACCCACGCGCTCACGCCATTACTCAGATCAAGGCCGCTTTAAACTTGTGACACGGTGGCTTCCCTCCGCGTGCCCAGGTTTGCGGGGGCGACTTCCTCCGCGTCCATCCCGGCCCTCGCCTCTGGCCCAAGCGGCTGAGCCTGCGTATGTCCGGTGCCTCCTGGCGGCTGCTCCCCCTCCCTCCCGCCGCAGCGACCAGCTGTGTGCGGCCCGCGGTGGGGGGAGTGCGGACCACTCTTCCGCACCCTCCGGGTGAGGCCTGTCTCCGCAACGGGCCGAGGGCACTTCTGCTGCACTGCTTGTGAGCAAACACGCCGCTCCCCTGTCTTTCTGAGAGAGAGGCGGGCCTGGCCGGTCAGCCACGCACCGGGGACTGGGACAGGGGCCGACAGGTGCAGACGCCCTGCATCTGTGTGCTCATCAGGATGGGAGCCTGGGAGTCTGTGAATCCGAGGGAGAAAGTTCTGTTTTCGGCATTTCTCCTGAGAGTTTTATACTGATGCTTAGCTCTTTTGGGTTTGAATAAAGTTGTATCTTTATATTTTTGTGATAGGTACACTTTAATATCCATCTTACAAATCAGTGTCACCATTCATGGTGACACATAATTTATTCTGTATCTCATTTCTGTCCTGTTCAATATCATTATCCTTAATGGTTTCCCTTCTGATAACTATACTCCACCAAATGGCTCCATCCGTCTGATTTTCCTCATTATAATTATCCTCATTTCAGTGTGCACCGAGGAATACGAAGGTCCGCCTCAGACCCACCCTCGGGACACCGAGCCCGTGGTGAGTCGGGGCGGTCCCAGCACTAAAATTGTCGTGGCCCTGTCACGGGGTAGATGCAGGCCAGCTCCCGCCTGTGTGTTCTAGAGACACTGGGGCTGTCCCTGCACTTGCAGAGACCAGAGCAGGCAGGGTCTTCTCGGCCTTGTGGTTCCTTCCCGCAGAAGGAGGTATGAATGGTAAGACTGGTGAAAATCACTTTTTACATTTTTCTTTGAGAGAGGGGAGCCCACACCGTTCAACTGATCCTCACCGACTCCTCTGTGAGATGCAGGCCTTCTAGTGCCTTAGGGCACCTCACCCCTAAACGCAGAGCGTGGGTTCTGAGGTGCAGGCTCTGGGTCCGTGTGGGCCCCAAACTCTCTGTTCACTCACACGACCCTCTGTCTCCTCGCTTGTGCAAAGGCTCAGATGGCCGACGACTCCCGGCCACGTGGGCCTTTGCTCACAGCAGCCAGAGTCTTGTAGGAGAGACTGAGACGTGAATCGAGTATTCCCGGCTGTCTGGGCTCGGGGGAGGGGCTGGTTTCTGTGACATGGTCGCTCCCAGGGTGGCCAGTGTCCGGGGACCGGTGGAGACACTACCAGCCGTCAGCATCCCGAAATCCTTGCTCTGTGCCCCCTCTGCTGCGTGGCGGTCAGTCCCGAAAGGTGACTGAAGGTCGAGGAAGGGGCTGCAGACTCTGGATGTGCTGGCTGTGCACTCACCCCGGGGAGGCAGGGCGGGGGCCTCGGGTCTGAAGGGCGGTGGGACCGAGCCGTCCTGCCCGGTCTCACCGAGCACCGCGATTCCACTGCCTCTTTGCGGTCGTGTCTTGAACGTCCCGTCTGTCGCCCATCAGGGGCCCTTCGGGAAGCTGAAGTGCCCGAGGTGCTGTTGTCCCCTTCACAGGTGGTTTCAGGAGAGCACCCCACAGTCTGGGGCCTCTTCTGTTCTCTGTGGGGCCGCTCCCTTCCCCGAACCTGCAAGCATGGCAGTGCACCAGCCCACCGGTGAGCCCAGGGAAGGAGGCGTTGGTCTGGCACTCTCAATTCTGAAGCAGGACGCGTGGCGCCCTGGCTGGTACGGCTCAGGCCTGGACTGAATCCGTGGCAGCTGGGGGGTGGGCCCAGTGTGGGTCTGGACGCCTCTGAGGGGCAGGTCTGAGGGATTTGCTGGCGGGGCGGGCGGGGGCAGGGGGCAGGGAGGGGGCAGATCCAAAGGCACCCGGCTGCCCGAGCTGAGACAGCACGGTAGGTGCCGCGTACCAAGGTGGACGGTCAGGGGGTGTTCTCGTGATGTTTTCATTTTTCTTGCTGTTGTTGAATGGCAAAGGCCAACATTTAGTTTTAGGTTTTTGTTTTTCAATTACACAGTTGACGGCCCATTCATTTTGTCAATACCGGCTGCTTCCAGATCCCGGCTGCAGTAGATGACGCTGCAGTGAACACGGGTGCACACGTGTTTTTGAATTGGTGTCTCGTTTTCTGTGGAAAACACCCAGAAGTGGAACCGCTTCGTCACGTGGGCAGCTCTGCTTTTGCTTTTCTCAGGGAGCCCCGCACTGCTCTCCACGGCGGCTGCACCGTCTGCACTCCCACCGCCAGGGCGCCAGGCCCCCTTCCTCCGCGTCCGCACCCGCTGCTGCGGACCCACTGCTACTAGAGCTGTTCTGACGGGCGGGAGGCGGCATCTCACTGTGGTTGTAATTGCATCGCTCAGTGACCCCTGACCTTGAGCACCGCTCATGTGTCTGTCCAGGTGCTACGCCCGTGGTTCTTTATGAAATTCAAATAAAGGATGACAAGTAATTTTTCTAACTGCTTGCAAAGCCCTGAAGAAAATCATGAAAGATACTAAGTTCCAATGAGAGTTTACTGAGCGCGAGCCCTGCTGGGTGGGGGCCTCGGGTGGGGCTGAGTCGGCACCGACTGTCACACGGGCTGCAGGCTGATGCCTTCATTCCGGGGGACCCACAGCGCCGGCTCTCGGGGTGCAGAGCAGACAGCGGTCTGGGGAGCGGCCTGAATCAGGCAAGTCCATGCTCACGTACCTCAGTCCTCTGTTTTCTTAGAAGAAACGGAATGTTCTCCAACACAGGGCGGTGCTTTTATAAAAAGGTTTTTGTTGTTTCATTTTGTCATTTTGCAAGTAGATCAACCAGCATGAGAGTGTTGTGGGCACTTGGCGTCAGCAAGCCTGTGACTGGCTCTCGCATCAGGAAGCTTCCGGAAGCTTCTGGCATGCCTGACAGAAGGCGTGGATGTAGGAGGTGTTGGTGCCCACGTGAGTCTGAGCGGTGCCCCACAGGGCACACCCCTAGGGACAGTGGCACCCTGGCCCGGGCACGGCCCCCAGCCCAGGGGCTTCACTGCAACAAGGAAGCTTTTGGAGAGCAAACTCCACAGAAAACAGAACAATATGCACATCTGAGCTGGGATGACGAGGCTGACACGTGGGCTCCAGACCCCAGCGTCTGGCCTGAGGAGCACACCTGCCGTCTGCTCAGGGACCCAGGGCCGACCTGGCATCTCCACTCACGTCACTGCTGGACTGTCTGCCGGCCGCGCTGTCTCAGCCACACACACCTGGTGTGGGGCACGCTAACCCCCCACCTTCCACTTGAGAGTGTGCGTTCCTCGCACACACGCTGGCACGGCCGGCACAGCACAGCGCCACTGAGCGGAATCGGCAGGTACACTTGTTGAGCCTCTTTCCTCGCTCTCCATCGAGATGTGATAGCTGTGCCTCCTCTCGGGATGACAAGAGGCCAGTGAAGACCACACTCTGTCCCCAGCCTGCCGAGGGGGTCCATGTGGGGCAGTCGGGAGACAGACACGGCCCCGCAGAGGAGCAGCAGGACCGTCGCACAGCTTCTGTTTCGTTCGTGCTGAGTGAGCCGTCACTGCCGTGCGCCAAGGGTCCCTGGGCCCCCGCCCAGCACCTTCGCTTCTGTTTCCATGCCGACGGCACGGGACCCTCTCACATTCCAAAACCTTTCCTTTGCAATGCTGTTAGACATGGCCGGGGGGCCCTGGGTTTCAGAAGACACGTGAGCGGTAACCCGCCGTTGGTTAAAAACCAGCAGCACCGTGACCCCGCTCTGCATGTGCCTCAGAAAGCAACTCCGCGGTGATGGGGAAGCCACTGGAGCAGCAGGGCAATGGAGACAGTTTCCTTCTCGGCCCAGCGACTCGGACCTGCAGGTGCGTGCGCGTGTGGTCGGTCGATGACGCCGTCAGCAAGAGCCGGGGCTTCCCTGCGCCCAGGGCCTCCTTTGAGTGTGGGCAAGTCCGTCAGTGCCCACGCAGCCGAGATGAGGCTTTTCGGAAAAGCCCGTTCTCTGTCACAAAAAAGGTCCGCAGGCTGCTCTCCGATCACGTGTCCCGGGGGGAAATCCCAAGCAACAGGAGTACAAAGGAGTCCCTCCTGCTAAGTATCCGTGTGCCTACCACACCCGATGCAGGCGTGAAGTCCCCAGAACATTCGTAAACCGGACGAGCACCCGGGCCCCTCCTGACACCCGTTGGTCCTGTCACCCCTCGCAGCAGCTCCGATCTGAAGGCAGCTTGTCCTTGTGTGACCTCCCCTGCCCCCAGGTGCGGCCCCGAGGTCTCCTGCGTCTGTGAGAGCAGTGATGCTGCGCAGAGTGAGGCCCGGGACCCCGGGCTCCAGGGCAGCGACCTCCCACCCTGCGGGGCGAGAACGTTGACACGTGACACCTGTTTACTCGGGGACGCTGACTGCTTGTCCCTCAGACTGGCAATTTAAAAAGTGACAACAGCCAGCATCACAGCAGCCACCGGTGTGGACGAGTCAAAACTGCACCCATTTTTCGGTCGGATCAGCAGTGACGACGTGTGTGGCCTGCCGCAGCCTGCGGGTCGCTGCTCCGGGAGGCGGCGCTGAGGACACCGCTGCCGTTTGCCCCGGACTCGGCCCCGCTCCAAGGCCTCTCCTGAGTGAGGGCTGTGACGTGGTCTGCGGACTCCTGAGCTCAGCGGGCCGTGGAGGACGGTCACGGTCCATGGGCCACCCACGCAAAGCCCTGCAGGCAGCTGGCGCTGGTCTGGGAGTGTCCCTCTGCCCAGGGGCTGGCCCGTCGCCACAGCCCCGTGTCCTGTGTGCAGCGCTGACGTGAGTGCCCAGGAGACCAGTGCGTGTGGACCGTGGCCATGTGCGCACGTGACCTGTGGCCACTTCCACGCCAGCGCGGTCAAGTCCCGGCTCCGACCATCATCGCCGCAGGAATGGGCCGAGTTTGGGCCTGACACCCACCCTTGTGGCTTCCTGTGGGTCACCTGGGCAGGACACTGCTCCTGAGGACAGGTTCGTGGGCTGGTCACGCACCCCGGCTCCGCATGTGTGGCTCAGGGCCACCCGGTGGGCGACACAGGGGTCTCGTGAAGAAACAAGGGCCCCAGACTTCTGTTGTCAAAGTGACCCTGGAAGTGGTGGGGACGCGCCACCTCACGCTATCACCGCTGCACCCACGGAGGCCACCGGCCGCCCTGGGCAGGCAGCAGGTGCGGGGCTCAGAGTCCCGGCGACTCCGGAGCAGCCCGTTCACTTCCTAACGAGTGCTCCACTAACGGTGTTCACAGTTCTTACGACCCGAAGGCAGGAGGGGCGCTGGGCAACGCGGCTCACGACGTCCCTGCGGAGCCCCTGCTCTGGCTCCTTTTCCTTGGGAAACCTTGTCATTCCTCTTCTGGGTCTGCGGCTCCACTTTCAGAAAATGCGGTCACAACAGTTAAAGGGCCAGAGTCGGCTCTTCAGCGGACGGGACCCTGGGCGGAGGCCGCGTCCCCGTCGGGAGTCCTGTGCAGCTCCACCGGGCTGGGTCCGCCTCGGGCCCAAGGCGGGAGCAGCCCCGTGAGGCCCCCCCGGGAACCAGGCCGGCCCCTCGGCCCCACGGCCCCGGCCCCGTCTCTCCAGTTCCCTGCACTGGGTGTAGGGCTTTGGGGGGGGCCACAGTGCATGGAGACCAGACCCCACTAATGACGCCTTGTGACCTTGACGACAGGACAGACACGGTAACTCTTGTTCACGCCCCGGTGTCAGGACTCCAGTCCCTGCTTCAGACTCAGAGAGTCTGCTTGGAGGGTAGCAGTGACCTTGACCGTGGACACACCCAGGACTCCAGTCCTGACTGAAGTCTTCCGGGTGCCTCAGTGGGTGCCGTGCTGGGGCAGCCTCTGCCCCGGGGTCGGGAAGGACGGCCGGCTTCCCGGCAGCGGCGGAAGCGAGGACGGCGTCAGGTACCTCGCCAGGGCAAGCGAGGCCAAGGAAACTGCCTGAATCCAAAATTCGGAGGTCTCCTCACCCACCCGGCCCGAGTCTCCCCCAGCCCCGCCCCCAGTTCCATCCCCTCCTGTGGTTCTAGCCCTCACCATCCGGGCCTCCACCCCCTGCAAGGCCCCCTGTGGGCGTGTCTACCCCTCCCCCCACCCCGTGGTGCGGTCACCTGCTGTCCCAGAGCCACCGCGGAGCCACCTTCCAACCCAAGCTCTGTGTCCCTCCGTTCCTCTGAGAGAAATCACAGCTCTGCTCAGCTGTAAGGGCGCCTGTCTGATCGGGCAGCGCTGTTCTTCCCCGGTGTGCGGCGGGCACAGCCCTGCTTCAGCAGGGGGCTCGGCATGTCCCGTCCCTGTCCCCAGGCACCGAGTCCCACCCTCCCTCCTGTCTCCACAGCCTGGCTGTGGTGGAAACACGAATCCTGCCTCTCGGAGCCCCTCTTGTGCCTCAGCTGAGCTGTGGAGGGGAGGGTCCCTCGATGTCCTACACGGGACTGGCCTTCCTTCGAGGTGACTGCTGTCCCCACCCTGGCCACCTGGCCCTCCTGCGGAATCAGCGCCACCTTCAGGGCAGAGGCCACCTCCCTTGTCCTGGGCTCCCTGGGGGTCACGTGCCTCCCGAGGCCTTTGTCTCCCGTCACTTCTGCTCTGCATTACAGTGGCCTGTGCACAGTGGCTCCTGCGCCCCCAGTGGCCTCACTGGGCGTCTCGCTCCGAGACGGGAGGAGGGTGAGTTCTGATGGGAAACCATGGGTAACATTTCCAGCATTCTCACTAAGTCTGGAGGGAACTCCAGGTTCCCGGGTCCCTTCCCCACCACCCACCCCTACACGGAGTCGGGCAGCCAGACCCCAGGCCCCTCCCTGCCTTGTGGGGACCTGAGGACACCACCGCACCCTGGGGTGTCCCAAGGCCCAGAACTCAGCCCTGCCCCTCCTCCTGCCCTACCGGCCACTTGGCTCACACTCCTCTTCCCAAACCTCCGTCTGTCATTCCAAGCCCCAAACACCCCTTGTGCTTGGGGGCAAGGCCCAGGGTCGTCTGTCTCCATGTGTCCCGGCTCCCGACAAAGGGCCCAGCATGGTGGGAGGGGCCTGTGGTCGGCACAGCCCTGGAATCCAGGAGCCTGGTCCCCTTCAGAGCCAGTCATCACCGGACCAGACACACTGGCGACCAGAACTGGCCCAGTAAAAGGTCCCACTGCAGGGAACTCTAAGCAGATTCTGATTCAGGCTGATGCCTCACAGTGTATCAGCTATACAAGCGTAATGTCCCCGGGCCAGCTGGGCCAACTCCCCCAAACGTCAGTTGCCTCCAGAGGGTCCTTTCTAACCCAGGTCTCCGGGCCTGTGCTAACACTGTGGAGTGTCATCGGCCTCTGTAGGGGCGCACTGTCCTCGTGAGTGACCCCGGAAGGAGGGAAGAAGGAAGAAGATGACTTGCTATGAAACCCGAGATCCCGTGGGAGATGGAGAAGTTCAGCGAACGGCACCGCCGGCCGCCAGCAGAAGACAGAAGAGCCGATACGCCTCCGGAGACAGGCCGAGGGCCCGACACTGCAGCGGGGGCCTCCCGTCCCCAAGCCCCGACCGGCGGGTCGCCCTCCGGAAGGCGAGTCCTCCTGTTTCATTGAATCTGCCGCAGGGAGCCCGGCTGACGAAGCTGCGGGGGTTCCGGGTGCGTTTCCGTGACGCACGCCCCACACACGGTGCTGCGCGCTCGCCGCCCAGGCCACATCTCCTCCCGTCACCGTCTGTCATGGGTGTTGAGCTCAGAGAAGCGGGGAGGAAAGTGAGGGTGTCGGGGTTGACTTCAGCGGGTCTCCCCACAACGCCTGCGCTTTCTTTCTTCCCAATGAGTAAGTAGCCAGAGGCTCAGCCTCGTCCCTGCCCAGCTCCCGGCGCCTGGTGTAGACGGCGGCGCCCTGGACATCTCGTCACCACGGAGACGGGGGCGGAGCCTCTCCAGCTCGGCCACTTGAGTGGGCGTCGGAGCGCAGAGCCGGCTTATAAGGAGGGCAGCCTGGCGCCAGCACCACCGAGGGTCACGGTTCAGAGCAGCCCCGGCCACAGGAGCTCCTGGGCCTCACGCTCCCCTCTGTGCCTCAGGGGAGGAGAAACGTCCAGGTTATAAAACGTGCGTTTTCCATTTCTGGAAGAAATTGGCCCTTGGAACTTGTAACCCGGTCCGGGGGAGGCCAACAGGGGAGCGTCTCTGACCACGGCTGGCTGACGGGCGTTCTCCACCACCCCACCATGACGTCCGCCAGGTAAAGATGCCTCTTTATCCAGCTCCTTCTGTCAGAAGCAGTGACGGGCCGAGATCAGGAAGGCACAGTTGGGAAGTAGAAAGGGTTGATCTTGAACCGTGTGCTTTGTACAGCAGTGGTCTCAGTTCAAGGTCATGCTGTGAGCAGGGGAAAGGATGCTGTGAGAAATTCCGGTGCGCACAGGACTTTCACTTAGCACTGTTGCGAAGGCCCCCTGGGTCCTGGTGTGAGTCATTTTTCCTGCATTGGCGTGCTGTGGGGGCCGGATTTGTGCCGCTCCCACACTCACTCCCAGGGACGCCTCACAACTGGACGTCAGCGTGACACAGCATCGGGCTGTTGCCCGGCTGGTCGGCCGACTGCAGCGGCCGAATTTGCCAGATTCATCCTCAAATGATTAGGGCGCGTGAGGCCACTCAGCACCTTGGCCCCAGGGGACAGTCTCCCCAGCTCAGAAAGCAGGGCAGGGTCTAGCGCAGCCCAACGCCAGCCTCTGGGCCTCCGTCACCTCAGCGGGGCGACCCGGGGTGCTGAGTGTGCATCTCGCCTTTCACCCCGACTCAGGGTGCGAGCACTGGCCATCCTGGGCGTCATCCTGGTTGTGGCCGGCAGCCAAGTTTTCTTCCCGTTCCTGAGAGTCAAGGACCTTTGGGGTAAGTGACGGGTGTGGCCTCTGGACCGGGTCCTGTCCCTGTCTCGGCTCTGGCCCAGAAAGCCCACAGGTGGCTCGGGGAGGCAGGCAGGAGCCCTCGTTCTGTCCTCTGCTTTCCCAGAAAAGGATGAAAATACAACTCTTTCTTAAAAAGAGCGGGTTTTCCTGTGAAAACACAACAGGGCAGGTTGGTTTTACCTGCTCGGGCACCTGGAGAAGAAAAGGGTCTCCTCCCGAGTGGGGGTTTGTTCCTTTGCTACAAAGCCCCCGTTCACTGAATAATTCTGTGATGTATTTTGTGAGAACTGGTGTTACAAGGCCAAACCTTGTAGAAAGCTATCCAGATGCAGAAAAATCACACCCAAACTCCGCTTTCGGTGTGCTAAGTAAATAAGAAGAAGGCACTTCCCAAGCCCCGGGGGGGACGGACTGACCCCGGCAGAGTCCTGGGGCTTGTGTGGCAGGCTCCCTCCAGCTGCCGGGTTCTGGGATGCTAGCTCTGCCCCGAGGGGCATCCAGCCTCTCTGGGCTCGGGGGCCGACACAGATGGGCACCAGCTCTCCCCGGGGACCACAGGCAACCTAACCGTCCCCAGGGCCTGGCGGCCGCAGCTCAGCCACACCCACACCCAACTGTGCCTCCCGCTGGGAGCCAGGTTCCCAGTCTTGCTGTGCCCGGGGCCGCGGGGTCTCGGACGGAGCTCCGGCAGGTGCGCTCCCTGAGCAAGTGCAGTGCTGTCTGCAGCGTCAGGGCCTGCGAGGCGGGTGCCGAGGTGGCACCGAGCAGGTGGGCCCTGGTCCTGCCAGCTGCTACCTGGGGCACTTTGGGTCCTTCCCTCACCTCACTCGTGAGCCGCACAACTGCGTCATCGTCATTACCCGGGAGCCCCAACAGGTGCGGCACTGGAGCCCAGGTCACCACCTGGCCAACCGCAGGAAAACAGGAAACGGAGTCTCGTGTTGTAGCAGCTCAGGAACAGTGGTCCGGCCCCCACAGAAAGTCCTTCCAGTGCCTGGCATGTGACGAGTGTTCTGCAAACGTTCTGTGAATTGACTCATTTGTCCCTGTGTTGTTCTTCATGGGGCTCCTGGTCGCATGAACCACAGTAACAAAAGTGGGAAGTCACGCAGCGAGTTTCAGAAACCCTTGCGCAGAGAGCGATTCGGCAGAATAAACCTGTCTGCACCTGTGTTTAGTTTTGGAAATCCAGGTGTTTTCTAAAGCCTGGAAGTGCGGCGTTGACAGCATCGCTAAAGCAGTTTCCTGTTCTTTCCCGTCTGAGGGGCGTGACTTTTCCCCTTGAACTTTCACTGCCTGCGTGGTAGTTGCCCGAAACAGGGTCCGATAGAAACGCCGCACTTTGCTCCGGATCTTGTTGTTAGCTGGGGTGTTGGAAGCTGGCTTATCACTTGTTTACTTTGTAAATTACCTCACAGTGTTTCCGTCTTACATCTTTTAATGTAAAAGGTTTTTTTCCAGTTGACAACAAGCCAACAAAAGCTTTGAAACAAAATAATCACTCACTGGAGAACTTTCTTTGAAACACAATTTGTATCCGTCCGATTTCACTGCCACCGGAATTTGAGTGGCCACACCCTTGCTTTCGTGTGAGTTTGGGTTGGGAGGTGCTCACAGACCTTGGGCGGCAAACTAACGGCCAGCTCCCTGTGTGCGCGCAGAGCCAGCGGCCCCGGGGCAGCAGGGCTGGGACCTCACCGGGCCCTGGGCTGCCCGCCCCAGTGGGCCACTCGCCTGGGTCACAGCTCAGAGAGCAGCCCTGGGACCCTCCGAGGCGGCAGAGCTGTGGTTAAGCCGCTGCCACCTCCCAGGTCCATGGTGAGTCTGAAAAGCATTGGCAGACGACCCTTCTCAAAGCCCCTGAATGGATTTACTGTGGAAACCACAGGCCTCCGTCACCACCCAGACGGCGCGCGTCTGGGGTCTGTGCCAAGTCCAGACCTGCGTGCAGGTCTCTTTGTGAGTGTGGCCATCATTCCACAGGGGACCCCAGGGACCTGCCCGTGCTCCGAGTTCTGGAGGAGAGCCGGCTCCTGGTGGACAGCGCCATCTACGGCACCCTGGAAAGGTACCACGTGCCCAGGGGATGTGTGCGGTGCCCCCAGTCCTGGTCCTGTGGCAGTCTTCACACGGTTACCAATTTTACCTTCATGATGCCCCCCAAGGCTGGGCCCAGGGCCTCCGCTTCACAGACTCTGAGCTCATGGGCTAATTCACTTACCACCATCGTGTGGAAGCTGCTGGAAGAACCGGTGGCCAGGGTCCAAGTCCTTCAGTAGCGAAACCCCATGACCCCCCAGGGCTGACCCCCAGGGTTGGGAAGACAAGGGCGGGAGCCCTGAGGCTGACGCTGAGTGGGTTCCTCTCCCGAGAATCAGCAGCAACGTGGGGAGGAAGGGCCCCGGGGGACGCCAGTGACCCGTGTTGGCCCTGGGGGTAAACTCACCCTTCCCGCCCCTAAAACGGGGGTCGCACACCCTTGTTTAACCTGTGCAGCCGCAGTCAGGGCTCAGAGCAAGATGCACTCAGCGGTTCGTGAGCAAACCTGCAGCTGAGCAGCAGGTGCCGCCTCGCTGGAGCTCTGGGGGTCGGCCCACTGTGAGCGCCCAGGGTACAAACAGCACCAGGCGGCAGCTGGCTCATCCCAATGTCTGCTGTTACAGCCAGAAAAACTCCCACTGTCCACACTGACTGCAAACTTGCCTTCACGTAGGTCCCGACATGGGAAAAGGCGTTTGGCACGAGCTCACAGCTGCTACCCCTCGGAAAGCTGGGAGGAGGTGGGGGCGAACAGCCGGCGGGGGGGGGGGGTCTCGTCGCTGTCCGGTCTCCACCCATGAGAACTGGACCCTCCTGAGATGAGGGCCCCACTCGGTCGGTGCTGGGCTCCCAGCTGCAGCCCAGCGTCCAGCTGGGTTTTAGGAGGAAGCTTATCTTACACAGTGGTCAGGGAGTCAGATGGGCTCAGAGAGGAGCTGGTAGGCGGCAGACGTGGGCCACTGCCTTTGTCACTGGACACTGACCGACCACCTGTCTGTGTCTAGTGATCCTGGACTGAGGACCCCCACAAACTCTTCCCCACGGTGCCTGGCACCCAGAAGCTTCTCCATCAATGTCTGCTTTGTGGACTGGTGGTTAGTTGCCAAATTACCATAAAAGAATAACAAATTCTATACTTCCCCTTTGTGCCGTAGAAACCTCAAGAAAAGGGAGATCATGTCTCCATCTCAGCTCCTTTCTGCTTCCAAACTCCCGGAGCCGACCAGCCAGGCCATTTCCCGCGCAGCGGAGATCATGGAGACCTCGGTGCAGGCGATGCAGCGGCAGGCTGGCCTGGGACGGGCACGGCTTCTGACAGGTCAGTGCGGAGGGCGGCCTGTCCGTCTGCAGCAGCAGCTGGTGGGGGGCAGGGACCTCGTGCAGGGGCCGCAGGGTGTCACCGGGAGCGTTTCCCACAGGTCAGCCAGAAGGTGTGGCTCCCATTCACTCACAAGACGAAAGCAGCAGTTGATAAAACACAGTATTTTTTAAATTAATCGGAGAATGAACTCTCTCTGCTATTCCAATTGGATTTGGAGAACTAGCTCAAAATCAATTTGTTGAATAAATAGGAATAGAATTGGCAAAAAAAAAATCAACCCACCAAAAACCGAGAGACTCTTTTAGGGGGCCCTGATCCAGACCAGGTACAAGGGAACAAAAGGAAGGTTTGGTGGACGGACACGTGGCCTTTGGTGACCGTGGCCAAGGCAGGGTCTCGGGGGGGAGGGAGAGTGCCACGCGCTCCTGTGTCCCAAGCGTCTCGTGGCCAGATGCGGCTGTGCCAGGTGACAAGTGGCACCGCTCGGAGCTCTCAGGACGGCTTTCCTGAAAGATCACGAGGGACACAGACTTTGAAAGCCCGTGTCCCGGGTGCGAGGAAGCAGGGGTGGGGTGGGGGACAGGAGGGCGGTGTGGGCCGACGCCGGGCCCCGCAGGGCACTGACCCCGAAGGGTCTCGGCAGACGCGCTGCCCGCAGACGTGCTGAGCGTGATCGCGAACGCGTCGGGCTGCCTGGCCCACATGCTGCCCCCCCGCTGTCCGGACTCCTGCCTGGCGGACAAGTACAGGCTCATCACGGGCGCCTGCAACAACAGGTACTTCCTTCCGCCTCCTGGCCACCTCCGGCCGGCTGGGCGTGCACGTGACCGGGGGTTTGTGACCCTTTCCCGGCCTCTGACTCCTGGTCTGGGCCACTCACCCTTCTGTGCACCTGTCTGCAGGGCCTGCCGGCTACCCAACACCAAGACGGGGGTGGGGCGGGGGGCAGGGCCTCCGGCTCAGCGCGTCCCAAGGGGGCTGAGGACAGTCACGTGCAGAGCGATTCAACACAGCGCCAAGTGACAGGGAGAGGGCAGAGCAGAGTGACAGACGGAGTCAGCGGGACTCAGGGCGCTGCGCAGGGGAACTGAGCCCAGGGTCACGAGGGGACGGTGGGCTCCTCAGGCTCCTGACGGGCGCAGCTGGGCTCCCAGCCTGAGGACCTGCCCGGCCCAGGGGCTGAAAGGGACAGACACAGAGCAACACGGGGCAGAAAGTTTCTGTCCTGGGCAACCTCAAACCCTTGAATTCATAAAGAAAATGGTAAGCCCTGAGACCAAAATTTGGTATGAGCATTTAAGTTACAGGCAAGACCCCCAGCTCTACCTGGGTTTGGGATATAGTTTGCTGTGTATACATAATTTGGCTCGTAGGTAATCCTTTATTTGCCCAGAAATTGTCAAAATCCAAATTAAATGTCGGACCGTCATGGAAACACACTGCGAGTGAGTGTGCACACTCACCCGGTGACCGACCAGAGGATTCTGTTCTCGTGTGCATTTGCGTTAAAGTCGCACCCCCTTTTTTCTCATCTGCGTTTTGACTGAATCCACGACACCGTCCAGCACAGGAGACGCCGTGGGCATCCTGGGAATGAAACTTCTTAGCACGACCACCTCCGTTCTGGAAATATCTGCATTTAAACTGAAACCGCTCGGAGCAAGGTTGGACCGTGTGCTGCCAGAGTGCGAGCTGGGCCTCGTCTACTCGTTTTCTTTGTTCCTGCCTGTGCCCCTACTTTCCGGGCCCCATGGAGGCTCAGTGGTGTTTTGTCTGAGATTCGGGGGTGCAGGGCCTCGGCGGGGCTTCCCGGGTGAGGGAAGGCACAGGGCCACCACGCAGAGACGGGGCACTTGCCAAGAGGGGAGCAGGAGGGGACGCGGCTCTCGGCCGCTGCGGCGAAACGGGCAGGTCCGCAAACGCCGCCGCCTCAGCAGTTACAGGAGGACTCGGTACTTTGAATTGGGTGAAACAGCACCTCCCCGAGCAGCACTTGGTTGAGGTCTGGCAGAGGCGAGCCGGCTGCGACGGGGCTGCACACGGCGTCCCGGCGCCCCCTCTTCCCATGCCGAGGGTGCGGTGCACAGAGGCCGTCTGTCCGTCCACATGCTTGCTGCTGGGCCGCACCGGTGAGCTGGGGCCCAGTGAGGGGTGACTGACAGACTGTCCCCACCGACCGCCGCGGGCCACTCCTGAGTGTCCCTGCATCCGCAGCAGTGACGGGAGTGGCAGGAGTGACGACGTCCCCTTTCTCTCGTGTCGGGAGCCTTGTGTCAGGAGGAGACCTGCTCCGTCCGTGGCCGCAGCCCAGACCGAACCAGCCTGTGCCTGTGCCAACTCGGCCTCCTCGGGCCCAGCTCAGACGAGGCCGTCGGGCACCCAAGGGCCCTTCCACATCCAGGCCGCACGCTGACGGCTGTCACACTGGTGCAGGAATGGCCACATATGTTCGTGACAGAGAGGGTACGTCCGTGTCAACGCACACCAATTAGTGTTTAAACACTCGTATTTCCAGTCACTCCGAAGCTCCTGGGTGTCTCGGCGTCTGTGCGGCAGAGGTGCGAGGGCCCCGCGTGCGGCCCGCTCCCTCCCGACTCACAGGGCGCGGCCAGGCAGCCCCGACAGGCCCCCGCCCCAGCTGCAGCCTCCCTGGCTTCTCGCAGACTGTGCCGCCGGCTCTGCCTGCGCAGGTTCAGGGACAGACGCCGAGGGGCGGGCCGCCAGTTGTGCACCAAATAACCCTTTTCAAGGAAGAGAACCGAGCGTGCTTTTTTTGCTCCCTGAGCTGACATTTTCATCCTAATTCCTCTCATTTTTCCCTGATGTTTCCGACCAGAAGTGTCTGGTCTGCCGCTTCGACGGCATTTCCTTTCCGTCCGCACCTGCCCCGTAGACGTGGATCCTTCTACAAATGTCACATGTTCACGTGTTTCACCACTTATGCATGTTGCCATGTCCATGCATTTGGTGTGTTGTACTTCTATGTTGCATTTCATGAGCTGAAATTCCAAAGTCAGAAACGTGTCGGGGAGCAGAGGGCCCCGGTGTCGTTCATCTCGACACTGAGGTCTTACACAGTTGTCCGCAGGTCACCACCGATCCGATCGGCACACTTGTATCAGTGTTTTTAACTTAAACGCAGACGTGAATTTCTACTGAGATTAGCTTCCCGCTGAGCTTGCGGCCTGTGTCTGTCAGCCCCTGGCTCAGCTGGGGGAGCTGTGCTCCCCGGTGAGCGGCGCTCAGCTGGTCACCTGAGACCCCCTGGGGGCACCTGCTGGCCCGCAGAGCTGCACGGAGGCGCTGGCTTGTTTTCAAGGGGGTGGCAGGAGATGAGACTGAGCCCGCGGCGCAGGGACCTGCCGCTGGGTGTTGGAACAGAAGCCCGGCCCCGTGACGCAGACTGGCCCTCGCCCGCCCTCGGAGGCAGAAGAGAGGGAACACACAAACAGCCGTCACCAAGATCGCTGTGAGGGTCTGTCAGCAGGCGACTCAATTGGTCGTCCTTCAATTCCTTTTCAGCAAAAATGGGGAGCACCTGATTCTCACGAGGATCGGTCACCTTTCGTGGCTCTTTTCTCCATTCCTGCAAGTTCTCCAGGCCTGTGGTGCCACCCCCGTCGCGCCTGTGCCTGTCACTGGGAGGCCCCTTCCTCAGCCCGAGCGCTCGGCCCAGTTTGTCAGCTCAGATACCATTACACCAGCGCCACCTCCTCGTGCGCTGTATCTTTCCGTCAAAACGGGGCAAACATTCCCTTTTAACTAACTGTCCAGTCCATCAGCCAACCACAGCTTACTTCTCAGAGAAAGCCTATTTTTAATCCAAACAACTGCACTAACACACGCCCCCTTGACACAACCTCGCCCCCGAATTCAGACCGTCTCAGCAGTCCGACGCGCGGTCTCCATGCTGGGGTTCAATGTGAACGGCAGGAAAAGGCGAGACAGGGAGGGCGCCTGAATAAGGGACGTGAAACCACAACTCTCCAAACTGTGTCTTTGCTGGGAGCACCCCCCACCCCGCCAAGTCTCAGTCCCGCAGGGAGGGGCCCCTGCCTGGCCACAGCGTGAGGGGGCGCCTGACCGGAAGGGCTGTGGGACGGAGAAGGCAGGAAGCAGGAAAGGGCGCATCTGGGGCTTGGGGCTCTGGAGAGGGTCCCCAATTGTAGGTGCCTGGGAAGCTGTTCCGCCAGGCACCACGGGAGTGAGCGCCCAGCTGCAGGCCCGTGTCAGGCCAAGGGCCCCGGGGGAGCCGGCCAACCGTCTTCCTGGAGGACAGGCTCCTGTAGGGGACACGTTCCCTCCCTCCTCCTGCCCATGCTCACTGCGCACCTTCGTTCCAGAGACCATCCCAGGTGGGGGGCCTCCAACACGGCCCTGGCCAGGTGGCTGCCACCTGCCTATGAAGACGGCGTCAGTGAGCCCAGAGGCTGGAACCCCCACTTCTTGTACAATGGGGTGCCCCTGCCACCGGTGGGTACTCCAGAATGCTGCGTGACCTGTATTACCAACAGGTCCTGTTGACCCTTCCCTGAGCTCCAGGTGGGCGTGGCAGGCTCCTGCGCCCCTCACCCTCCGCAAGCAGGGGCCACGGCTGACTTCACAGCTGAGGAGCTGGGGCTGCAAAGATCCGAGTCCCAGCTCCTGAGCGGGCGGTGCAGCTGTCTCTCCAGTGCTTCAGAAGCCCCTGTACTCACGGGTGGAGGACGGGCTCACTCAGACACCTGTTAGTAGAGTGACGCATTCAGGAGGTGGGGACGATGGCCCCTCTGCTCCCCAGCAAATGACGTGCAAAACCCAAACGCCATCTGTCACTCCCCTTTCTCGCCCAGGTCTGGGAAGTGACCAGGCAGGTCATCCAAGTTCCCAATGAGGCTGTGACCGAGGATGACCAATATTCAGACCTGCTGGTGGCGTGGGGGCAATACATCGACCACGACATCGCGTTCACGCCGCAGAGCACCGGCAGAGCCGCGTTCGGGGGAGGAGCCAACTGCCAGCGCACCTGCGAGAGCCGGAGCCCGTGTTTCCCCATCCAGGTACCGCCGGCACCTACTTCTGCCACGGAGCCGATCGGTGCCATTTAAAAAAAGTCAGACCGAGAAATGTTTGTCCTGTCCCCGGGGGGAGCAGCTGTGGAGGACGGGTCTGCGCTTATCTGTGTGTGAAGTTTACGTGTGTGCGTGTCTGTACTTCCACCCACACACCGTCCTGAGTGTCCCACCCACACACAGTCCTGAACCCGGGCCACTGAGCAACGATTCCTACACTTCGGCCTCTGTCGTTCAGCTGGGAGCGGACGGGCCTCTGCCGTCTCAGCATCCCAGTGGGTGTGCATGGTGGCTCCCGTGGCCACTTGCTCTCCGACGAGCTTTTCCACGGTTCTTGGGTTTGTTGCTGACGCGCATTGGCAGACACCGCTGCTGAGAACACATTGGGCACACGCCGCAGAGGCGCCTGGAGGGGACTGTCGGGCACTGAGCTGGTGCCGGGCGAGGGTCGCAGCGTTCGAATTTCCCTCTTACTCACAGACACAGACAGGAAACACCTCCGAACCCGGCACAGGGCATCTGCTGCCTGAGAGCAAAGGCCGGTGGGCCGCTGTCCTGTCGGACACTGGGAGGCAAACCTCACGAGTGGGCGTTCTGGGCCAGGCTGAGCTGCGCTCTGCTCCCGCAGGCCCCGCTCACCGAGGGCTCTCTGGGGGGCGTTGAGGAGGGTTTGGAGGTGCAATATGACAGCCGGCAGCTGGGACACAGGCACGTGAGGCTCCAACCAGGAAGGCACTGGACACACTCTCCCGAGGAGAAACACAGGGGAGTGGGGGACGAGCAGGACGCCGACCCCGGAGGCAGGGGAGGGCTGGCCTGAACTGAGGACACGGACGCGCTGGTGGGGTTCCTGGTGCCTAAAGAGGGTGCCGAGGACCCGAGGTGACTGGGCCCTTTCCGGCAGCTCCCTGCCAACGCCTCCGGGACCTCCGGCACCACCTGCCTGCCCTTCTACCGGTCATCCGCTGCCTGTGGCACCGGAGCCCAAGGTGCCTTGTTCGGCAACCTGTCCACGGCGAACCCACGACAACAGATGAACGGGCTGACCTCCTTCCTGGACGCGTCCACCGTGTATGGCAGCTCCTCCGCCCTGGAGAAGCAGCTACGGAACTGGACCAGCGCGGAGGGGCTGCTGCGGGTGAACACGCGCCACCGGGACGCCGGCCGTGCCTACCTACCCTTCGCCCCGCCACCCGCACCCCCGGCCTGTGCCCCGGAGCCCGGTGCCCAGGGCCCTGCCCCCTGCTTCCTGGCCGGGGACAGCCGTGCCAGCGAGGTCCTCTCCCTGACGGCCCTGCACACGCTGTGGCTGCGTGAGCACAACCGCCTGGCCGCAGCGCTCAAGGCACTCAACCCGCACTGGAGCGCCGACACCACCTACCAGGAGGCACGCAAGGTCGTAGGCGCCCTGCATCAGGTGTGTGATGAGCCTTCCTGGAGTCCTGAGGGGGTGCACCGGGTCACCACGGGCATCCTGATTGGTGCTCAGAGTCACCCTGGGCGTCCTGATTGGTGAGCAGTCACCACGGTCGTCCTGATTGGTGCTCAGAATCACCCTGGGCTCTCTGATTGGTGAGCAGTCACCGAGGTCGTCCTGATTGGTGCACAGCGTCATCCTAGGTGTCCTGATTGGTTATCATAAACTGAAACAGAGTCACTGCAGGCGTCCTGATTGGTACTCAGGGTCGCCACGGGGCGTCCTGAACGGGCAGCTGAGTCACTGCAGGCTCCCTGGGCAGGTGCAGATTAGCCACTGGTGCCCGCACTGAGGTTCATCCCGCAGCTACTGGGGCACTTGGTCCGGGTGCCTGGTCTGAGATCTAGTCCGCACTGGGGCCGGCTGCCATGATGTGAGGGAGGACGACAGCAGCCCCAGCTGCTCACAGCAGGGACAGGTGCAGTCCGTCCCCTGCATTCCTGGTGGCAACAGCACTGCCAGTGCTTTCCAGTTTTAACTCACTTAACTTTCCCGGCCAGCCCTTGAGCTGCCTGCCCGCCAATGATTCTGGGGTTTCTGTACTTAAAGACAATGGAGAAAATGAAAAGAAAAACAGATTTGTGAACCAGGAGGTTAAACAAGAATCTCAATTCTTTTTTCATTTATGGTGATTTTTATGTGAATCAGAGGGTCACAGATGAAGTCTCAAGTTGGCCAGATGCCAATCCTGTTGCAGCAAAGGGAGGAACTTGTCTGTTCTTCCCACCCTCACCTGCTGCGACTCGGTTTAAGACACCCCAGAACTCCCCTCGTCCCAGAGATGCGTGGTGAGCGAGTGTGTTGTGTGGGTTCTGGGGGGGTGTGCATGTGTGTGTAGCACGTGGTGCGTGTTGTGCGTGGGCGTGCATGTGGGGTGTGTGTGGGTCCACTTGTGGTCGGTGTGGCCCAGGGGCTGAGCCCACAGGTGCCGGTTCAGGGGACTCTGCCTCGTGCAGGCAGCCGCTGTGGGGCCGAGAGGTGCCATGTCAGCCTGCAACAGCGGTGGCTGCCATGCACTGCTGGCCTCCCAGACTGCAGGCCAGAGTTCAGGTGCGGGAAAGGGAGGCGGCGCCTCCGACACAGCCTGGACCTGGACCTCTCGTGTCCCTTCTGCTGTGGGGAGAAGACTCCGGAGAAGGGAGTCAGCGGACTGTTGCTGCCGCCCATGGGCTGGGGAGGGGCCCCGCACACCTGAAGCCCTCGGACACCTGAAGGCCCTGAAATTGCACCTGAGGTTGAGGGGCCAACTCCCCGTGGTGAAGTTGTGACCGCCCCAAACGCAGATCGGGGACACAGGTGCTCCTCGTGTGTCCACTTGGAGACCCCAGATGTGGCCCGAGCTCCGTGTCTGCGGGTCCCGGGGAAGACACCACACAGCGAGCCCTGCGCTGGGTCCTCCCACCAGCTGGGGCAGCAGCCACGCCCCCTCCGTTCGCCCAGGGACACAGAAAATGCGCTCCACCTTTTGGGAGGACGCAGGTCAAGTGGGGGAGCACAGCACCTGCCGTGTTTCGGGTGGTCCAGTAGGTTGGCAGCTGGCCCCTGGAACAGATGAGCTGAGATGTGAGACCCTGGTGTTCGGTGGCAGAATCACTCCTCCCTGGATGAAGTTTAACTGTGGGGCTCCGCTCGTGCCCACCGGGGAGTCTTCCCGCGGGCAGCCAGCCCGGCTGCCTCCGGCCCTAGTGCCGTCTGATTAACCGGCTGTGCTCTGGACTCAGCCTTGTAAACGGGACTCCTGATTTCCCACAAAAATAGACACATAAATAAATAGAAAGAAAAGACAAAGACGCTCGGTTTGAGGCCTCTGTGGCAGCAGGCGGCCGTGTGCCGGGACAGGGCCCCACCCGTGAGGAGTGTCTCGCTCCCTTCAGGCCTCGGGAGACGGAGTCGTCCGGGCTGCGCCCTTCTCCTGTGCAAATCTCCTGTGTAACAAAGAGGCGCTGCAACTTGCCGTGTCCAACGAGCACTTTTCCCCCAAATCTCTCGGGAAAATGAGGACGTGCGTTATACATGGGTATGGGGACTACATACCACGGTGCATAAATAACGGGCATGGTGACCCCGTGTACAATGCGCACAGAACGCGGGTGTGCATTGTACACGGCACAACACGGTGCGTCTGCTGTGTCTCACACCCAGACGGGACACTGCAAACACATCTAATACGCCAAAGCACGTGTGTTTTTTATGCTCACAGAAACTCCGTGTGAGAAGCCTTTGCGGTTCGGCAGACAGGCTCGGGGGGCTGGCAAGGCCCCCACACGGCTGTGGGGCAGAGCCCACACGGGCTCCGAGCCTCGGGGGCTGGCTCCCCCCGGCAGCTGGATTCCGAGGTCGTGTGGGTTCGGGGGCTGGTGCTGTGCTCACAGGTGCGGTGTGGGTGCGGGGAGAAGCTGGTCGGGTGGAGACGCTGCTGTGTGTGAGAGAGCAGCCCAGCAGCGGTAGCCCCCGGCCTGGCCCACGCTGGAGGGCGCGGGGGGCACGTGTCTGACACGGACACGCCCGTCTGGCCATCAGTGCAGAGCCCCGAGGCTCTGTCTGCATCTGCTGCTGCTGCTCACCGGCGCCCTCACCTGGGAGGCGCAGGCCCTCCCGCGACCCCTCCGAGCCCCGGGGACATGTGGCCCTGCGGCCTTCGCCCCCCACTGAGGCTGCCGTGACCGCTTTCTCGCAGATCATCACCTTGCGGGACTACATCCCCAAGATCCTGGGCCCCGAGGCCTTCGAGCAGCACGTGGGCCTCTACCAGGGCTACGACCCCACCGTGGACCCCACGGTGTCCAACGTGTTCTCCACGGCCGCCTTCCGCTTCGGCCACGCCACGGTCCGCCCGCTGGTGCGGCGGCTGGACGCCCGCTTCCGGGAGCACCTGCCCCGGCTGCTGCTGCGCGACGCCTTCTTCAGCCCCTGGAGGCTCCTCAAGGAAGGTGTGTGCCCCCCAGCCCCGCCCCCGCCAGCCTCTCTCCCCAGACCGAGCCCCTCGCAGCCCCCGGAGGGACCCACCGCTCGCCGTGGCGCTGGCTGCGTGCCGCCTGGTCATCGGTGTTTGCGGAGAAAACACGTGTGCTCAGAGCTTTTAAAGGCAAAGCTGTTCGTCAGAAACACTCCGCTCCGGTCTCTGAGTTCTTCGGGTTCGCAAGTGAAAGTATCCAGGCCCAGGTCGGCTCCCCACCCACTGTTTCGAAATCTGCAGCAGAAATCGGACCCAACACTGTACACGGTAAATGGTGCCATTTCACCATCAGCCCCTTCGTCTGTCCCACGGCCAAGCTCACGCGTGTGGTTTCTGAGCGCCACGGCTGGGCTACGTGTGCGAGTGACTTGTTCGGAAAACCGTTTCAGCTCCGGGCGACCTGTTTGAAGGGTTATCTCCACACTCTCCCTGCCCCCACCCCTCCTTTCTCTCCTTCCGTGTTCTCTGTCTGTCCAGAAGCTTCTATCCTGTCTCCAAAGACTTGGTGCCACACAGCTGTGGGGGATGGAGGAGAAGTCACCATACTTGGTCTGTCCCCATGGAAACCTTCACACACACCTTGTGGGAGAGAGGCCAGGGCCCCACCAGGGCCACCAGGCCACCCGCCGAGGCCCAGGCACAGTGTGATTTCCTGTCTGTGCTATAGCCCCAAAGGCTCCAAGTGAAGGGGAGTCACCTGAGTGGTGCGCGTCAGGGCTCTAACCCGGCTCCTGCAGGGTCCCGTGGGGACGGCTGGCGTGTTGAAGGGCAGGGAGCGCACTGCCCGGACACCCTCGTGCTCCCTCGGGCACGCCCAGTCCCCTCTGCTGCCAGCCTTGGGGATCGGCAGGCGCTTCGGCTGGTTGCACTGTTTGCACTGCAGAAAAACAAGACGAAAACCAAGCACCTGCAGGGCTCGTGTCTGGGTCCCCTCGGTCGTAAGGCCTGCTCTCCCCACACCCACGGTCAGTCCCCTTGGTCCGGGCAGAACGCACCCTGAGAGGGCTGGAAGGTTGCGGAGCCCCACGCTGTGAACCGTGGGCTCAGGATGGACGCCTGTCAGGACCGCTGCCATCCCTGAGGAGCCGGGAGGAGCCCGGTCACCTTCTCCGGTGTCTTGCAGGCGGTGTGGACCCCCTGCTGCGGGGGCTCCTCGTCCAGCCGGCCAAGCTGCAGGTGCCGGCCCAGCTGATGAACGAGGAGCTGACCGACAGGCTATTCGTGCTGTCCAGCGAGGGCACCTTCGACCTGGCGTCGCTGAACCTGCAGCGGGGCCGGGACCACGGCCTGCCAGGTCAGCACCCGGCCGGGCCCCCTTGCCAGCCCGGTCCTGCTCCCAGTCCCGGTCCAGGCCCTGGAGGAGCCGCCCAGTGAGGGGCCTCCCCTCACAGAGTCTGGTCTGACATGAAATGTTTCTGCGAGACTTTTGTCAACTTCCTGGAAATGGGCTTTGCAAGCCCTCCAGTCCATCCACCTAAAAGGCCAGGTCCTCAGACCACGGCGGCTCCCGGTGGCCTCCGGCCACCCCTAGGCAGCTGGCCCCATCTCCTGGCGGTGGGTGTGGCCAGGGCTCCCTTCCCAGGCCCCCCCCACTCTCCCCATCCATCCCCACTGGCCAGTCCTGACCCCCGCCCACCATGGCCATGCCCCCATGGGCCCCTGGAGTTCAGCTGTCTGGTCGGCCTCCCTGTATGTGCAGTGAGCCCACCCACTGACCCACGTGGCTTGTTTGCGACTGTGCCGTGGTCAGTCCCTGAAGTCTGCAGTGTTCCAGCACATCTGCACAGCAGGGCAGTGCCACGCTCTCCCCTGTGGCTGGACACTGCGGACGGGAGGCTGAGGCCCAGACGGAGTGTCTGAGGGGTTTGGGGGATGCAGACCCAGGAGAGAGCGCAGGTGCGCCTTGCAGGTTACAACGCCTGGAGGGAGTTCTGTGACTTGCCCCCGCTGCGCTCCCGGGCCGGCCCGAGCCGCCCCGTGGCCGACGGAGCTGTGGCCGACCGGATCCTGGCCTTGTACCAGCACCCCGACAACGTGGACGTCTGGCTGGGCGGCTTGGTGGAGGACGCCCTGCCGGGCGCGCGGATCGGCCCCCTGTTCGCCTGCATCATCGGGAGGCAGATGAAGGCCCTGCGGGACGGGGACCGGTGGGTACCTGGCGGCAGCCTCGCCGGCGGCCCGTGCAGAAGCAGGCGTCTCAGTCGAAGTCGGCGGGTCTGGGGAGTCCTGCTTCTCCTCAGCAATCCCGCGCACCAGCCCTTTCTTCTCTGGCGTCGCTGCGCCCACGCCCGATGTTGTGCAGGACGCCCGCGTCCTCTGCGAAGGGCACCTTAGCCCCCCCCTGCCCCGCACACGTCCACCATTGATTTCCAGGTGCAGCGTGTCGAGTAGTCGAGTTACTGTGGCACTCAAAACCGCGTCCGCACAGCCTCCTGGGCTTCCGTGGCAATGGGGGCACAGATCCAGCGGCAGATCCCCGTCACCTGCGTGTGCACTCTCTCCGGCACAGGTTTTGGTGGGAGCACGGAGGCGTGTTCACTGAGGGGCAGCGGCGGGAGCTGCAGAAGCACTCGCTGTCCAGGGTCATCTGCGACAACTCTGGCCTCGCCCGCGCGCCCCCTGACGCCTTCCGTGTGGCGCGGTTCCCCCAGGACTTTGAGTCCTGTGAGGACGTCCCCGGCCTGAACCTGGACGAGTGGCGGGAGGCGGCTCCCCCAGGTGACTGCCAGCCTCCTGCCCCCTCACGTTAACTATGCAGGGACCACAGCAGACGCCGGGCTGCTCAGAGGGGGCGGTTCGAGGTGGCACATTTGGGGAAAATAACAGGGAGGCTGGGCTGCGTCCCCACAGTGAGGAGGACTTGTCCCCAGCTGGGCCCCTCCCTGAAGGAAAACACTGTCCTGTGAGGCTGTGCTGGTGCGAAGTGAACGGTCAGGTGCAGAGGTGGCGGTGGGGGGGGGGACGACAGGAGAGCAGAGACCCCACCGGGGCAGCTCATTCCTCATCCGCGGGGAGAGCTGCGCCGCACCTGGGGCTCACGGATCCCTACGGGTGGGCCCAGGGCCGGGAGAAGCAGGTGAGGGGTGGGAGACGAGACCGGAGGAGGGACGCAGCCAAGTCCTGCCAGGTCGCCCCAGGACACGCCTGCCTGTCATTCTGACAGGACAGCCACTGGGGTTCGCGGGGCGGGGTGAATGCAGGAAGATCCCGGGAGCCGAGGTGGCTTCCCCGAGGGAGAGGAAGGTAGTTCAGCCCCCAGGCAGGTCGGTCGGAGGGTCGGAGGGTCGGAGGGCAGGCCCGTGCCGACAGCAGAGCCGCCGCTGTGCCTTCTGGGTTTGCTGTGGGCGGACGGCCAGAGGCCGGAGCACACCCAGGGCATGTGCGTCTGGGAGGGACGCACCGCTGAGCAGGGGCCAGTGCTGGGATGCCGGATGGGAGGGGCTCCTGGGGACTCGGGCTGCAGACAGGCCCCCAGGGAGGCAGCGCCCTCCTGCTGCTGCGACAGCTGGGGTGAGATGGGCTGGGATTGACCGTGGCCTTGGCAAGAGTGACCTGTGGCATGGGGGGGGGCCTGGCCAGAGGGGACTCACGGGTGAACAGGAGAGGAACAGGGGAGCCGTGGGGCCCTGCGTGCTGGCGCGGGACGGCGGGTGGAGGGCTGGCAGGAGGGACGCTGCTCTGTCCTTGTGCAGGGTGAGATCCCTGTGACCCGGAGGGGCGGGCGGTGGCTCGGGGGAGAGGCTGTGCTTGACTGTGCCCACCTCTCTCCCCGGCCCAGGGGACACCTGCGGCTTCCCCGGGAGCGTGGAGAACGGGGACTTCGTGCTCTGCGGCGAGGCTGGGCGGCGCGTGGTGGTGTACTCCTGCCGGCACGGGTTTGAGCTCCACGGTCAGGAGCAGCTCACGTGCACCCCCCAAGGCTGGGACTCCCGGCCCCCAGTTTGCACAGGTCAGTTGCTTCACAGGGGGTCTCGTCATGACTGACGCCAGCCTGCATTTTCAAACACAAGCTAAAAATGAGTGTCGTTCGCGGGAAGGGTCAGAGTCATCTCCCAGGAGTCCTGGGACGCCGGGCTTTCCTCCCTCATCTGGCCACGCCCCCAGGGGGCACCGTTCTAGGCAGTGGAACGTCAAGGCAGTCCCATCAAACAGGCCTGGCAGGGTGACACAGGTGCACACGGGGACAAGCACTTAGTCACTTGTGGGGACGGTTGCCCGGAGCAACTTCTAGAGCCAAGTTCTCTAAAGAAACGAGACAGAAGTGTTTCCACGGACAGAACTGGTGGAACAGGAGCAACCCAGCCGAGGGTGCGCTTGTCCCGGGCCTGTGGCCCTGTCCCTGGTACTCGGGGCCCGGACCCCAGTCTTCCCGACGGCCAAGGGTGGGCTTGTGGCGGAAACGGGCCGCCCTGCGAGAAGCTCCGAGATGCCCCTTCTGGCTTCTCTCGGCCGTGCGGGCCAGGTGGGCATCAGGTGTGCGGGCCAGGTGGGCGTCAGGTGTGGGGGACGCCACTCAGAGCCGCCTGGTGCCCGAGTCGCCCCTGCCGAGGGGCCGCAGAAGGCAGTGCTCCTCTGGACGTTTGGGAAACGCTGGCCCTGCGAGAGCCGCTGGTGCCCCCTCACTGAGAAATGCCCTCAACCCAGCCTCCGTGTGCGGCCTGGTTCCTGGGCAGCGAGGGGCGTGGGAACCTGGGCCTGAGCGCCACGAGTGTGGGTGGCACATTTGCTTAGTCCTTTGACAGGCGACCGGCTGGCAGCAAGCGCGTTTCTCCAGGAGGGAATCCGGGCCTGCGTGGGTGGCTCCTTGTCCTGGGCCATGTCCCACTCGGCCTTGGCGGGGAGGGGGATGGGCGCAGGCGGGAAGCGGGCCGGTCTGCGGGCAGAGGTGGAGCAGGAAGGAAAACGAGCTGCAGCGTTGCCACTGGGGGAGAGGAGAGGGTTCCGGTGCCGCCCACGGGGACGCACTCGTGCCCAGAGTGCGCAGGTGACGCGCCGTGTGTGCCACGCCCGAGCAGCAGCGTCTGTCTGGACGGCCGAGGTCCTGAATGTTTGCCCTGAGAGGTCGTGCTGGCCGAGGGCTCGGGGCTCAGACAGGAGATGAAAAGACCTGAGTCCATGAGTGTGAAGGCCGCCAGGAGCCACGGTGCCGGCCGCCAGTGCGGGGTCGGGCGTCTCCGGGAGGCCCGCTTGCTGCCTTCAACCCAAGAGAAAGGACGGAGCAGCAGAGGAGCAGGCTGGCCCCACATGACCTCAGGAGTGACCGAGGACGGCCGAGGGCACGAGGGTCCGACTGGGACAAAGCCCAGGCTCTGAAGCTCCGGCCAGGACCCGAGTCTCCACCGGGACCCGGCCGGACTGTGGGAAGCCGGGTGTCGGCCGGCTGTGAACGTGCCCGTACCCCCTGGCCCCAAGGTCCCTCCCGGGCCACCTCAGCCGCCCTTCACTGGTCCCCCAGGCCTCTGGCCTCCAGGTTTTAAACGTGCAGGAGGGAGTGATCAGTTTGCCTCACTGTCAGTTTAAGTTCCTCATGCGCACAGAGCAAAGAACCGGACACGCCCTCCGGACACAAACCCGATGTAACTGACAGGTCAGTGGAGCCAGCTGCTCCCGAGTCCGTCCGCCTGTCCGCACGGTTAGCTTTTACACTGGGACCGTGTCCCTGGACGAAGTGGACACTCACTGCAGGGTGATGTGCAGCGTGAGAACCGTTCACCTGTCACACGTTGGCGCACACCTCTGTGCCTGCACGACCTTGCTCATCTTGGTCCCCTGGCCTGGGGAGACAGGAGGAGAAGGGAGGGCACTGACCTCCTAGTGCATGTAGCTGTGTCTCATCCTATTGGATTTCACATTAGGACGTAATATCTTAAAACTAAACAAATCCCAGCTCAGTGGGGAGCAACCCGTGGTGCGAGTGACCTCATTCGCACCCAAGTATTTGCACGCGGTCCGTGCCTGCGCGAGAGGCTGCTAAATCAAGAATCACAGGGAAAAGGGACTTAAGAGCCACATGACCAGGAGGGATCGATGTGAATACGGATGACCTGGCGGGCTCTCCAGGGATCAGCGGAGCAGCCAGGTCCCCAGCTGCAGGGAGGAGAGTGAGGTTCGTCAAATACTTGAGGACAACATCAGGTGACATGTGCCGCTGTGTCCCCCACTCTTACTACTCAGCCCCAGGAGAACCTGCTGGGGAGGAGAAGCCAGCGAAAGGTCCTTGTGAGTGTCCTTGCAGCGCTCCCGAGCCGCAGAGAAAGAACTGTGTCTGCAGCTCTCTGGTCTTTTTGCTGCCGAGAGGCGAGTGGCGAGTGAGCACAGGGAATGTCCACTCGGCACAGTGTGCTCGGCTGGGGCCCGGACACCGAAGGGCAGAAACCCGGCCAGAGCACAGGCCTCAGCGCAGACACGCCCAGGCTTCGAGGACACGCAGGTCTGAGGCCACTTCTCCTGCTCTGTGAGGAGCGCCGGGCCCCCAGGATGGGTCTGCCACAGGCTCCTGGCTGTCACTGCTGGGGAAGGAGCCCACCTTTGCCGTCCGTGACATGGCCTTTTGATCAGAAGGACCCAACCCCACCTAGAGTGAAACGGGGTGAACTGTGTCACCCTAAGTGTCTTGCATGCTGAAGTCCTGGCCCCAGCGGTACCAGAGGATGTGACCCTCTAGAGAAAGGGGGTCTCTGCCGGTGCCACCGAGTAAAAGAGAAGGCACGCAGAGGTGACAGGGCACAGGAGGGATGTAGCTGCAAGGCCGCAGACTCCAAGGTGGCCAGGGGCCACCAGAAGTGGGGAGAGGGCCCCCCACAGAGCCCTGCAGCCTGGGTGGCCCACCTGCCCCTCTGGCCTCCAGAATGGGACAGAAGGACTCTGCCCACGGCACCTGTCCCAGCCACCACAGGGACCTCTGCATGGAGGGCCTGGCAGGGGCCCCAGTGCCGGGGGCGCTGCACATGGGGGACCGGGCCTGGACAGCGCTGTCCCACCTGTGCCCACTGTCCCACGTCCCCTGGGTGGCAGCAACTTTCAGGGACAGCAACTTGGATTTCCACATGTGGTGATGAGCCCGGCTGCTCCTGTGTCCCAGGGGCTGCAGGTGCCATCCATCCCCAGGGGACCCCCCTCATCCACACAGTGGGCACGGTCGGGGCCTTTCTGTTCCCTGTGAATGAAATGCTTCTCGGCAGCACCTCTGTGGAGAGACTGCTCCCCTTTGAGCTGGGGCTGCGGGGTGCTGACGCCCGTCACGGGCTCGTCAGTGCCGGCTCTGTGGCCCGTGTCATCAGCTGTGGGTCATCACCAGAAGCAGCAGCATCTTGAGAGCCTCTGGGTCCTACTCCCTGCCTGGTGGGGGCATCCCGACCCCACCCCGTGTCCTCAGAGCTCCCACAGCCCACGGAGACACCATGTGTGGCTGGGAAAAGTGGGCTGGGGGGCACCCGTGCCAGAGGAACGGCCGGAGGAGGGCCCGGCCAGGGTGGTCGGAACAGGGGCGTGGCTGCCGCTGGTCCCCAGGGGCCGGAGGCCAGTGCTCCTTGGAGGGTCCGAGTCAGCAGGAGGGTCCTTGGGATGCTCAGATTCTCAGCAGGGAGGGGGCAGTCCTCTTCCTCCTGGGTGGGGACACAGCAGGACAGCTGGGCTCTGTGAGGAGGGGCCACCATGGCCGCAGTGGAGGGCGGGCCTGGTGGGTCCCTCAGATGTCCCAACCCGTGTGGTTTGTGCAGACGTGGACGAGTGCAGAGCCGGCACAGAGCCGCCCTGCCACGCGCCAGCCCGGTGCCGGAACACCAAGGGCAGCTTCCGCTGCGAGTGCACAGACCCACATGTGCTGGGGGAGGACGGAAGGACCTGCGTCGGTGAGACCACACCCATGTGCCCCGGCCGGGAGGGGGTGTCGCACACTTCGGGGTTTCCAAGGGTCACCCTTTGAGTTCTGCGGGGGCTGGCGACATGTGCCTGTCCACTCTGCTGCGGTCCCCAGTGTGGGGACGGAGCAGGAGGCCACTGGTCCCTAGGTGAGCTGGGACTGGGCCACAGACACAGAGCTGCTGAGAGACCCTCTGTGCTGGGCACCGTTCGGGCTCTGCCTCCCCTCCCGTGGGCTCGGCACAGTGCTGAATCCATGCACGGAACAGAGAGGTTAAGTGAAAGGAAGACAATGTACAGATACCAGTTAAAACAAACAGACAGACAGACAGACAGACAGACTTTGTTCATACTACTGTGGCCGGGAGAGAGGCCTCTGTGCAGAGCTGAGCTTCACCCCAGACCCAGCAACCACAGGGCTTCCCAGCCCGTGGTGGGGAGGGAGCATCCTTGGAAGAACAGCAGCCACTGACGGGGCTCAGTGGGGGGAGGGTGTTCTTGCTAGAACTGGGCGAGCAAACAGATCAGAGGAGCCTGGCCCCACTCCAGACCCTCATGGGACTGCTGTGCGTGGGGTCGGCGTCTGGTGAGCAGCCGGCACAAGGTGGTTCTCACGGCTTCCTCTGTCCCCCTGGCTGGCAATGACCCCAGCAGACCTGGAATGAGGGTCGTGCTGCCCCCGGCCCCCGTCACCTTCCAGGGTCCCTGGGATGTTGTTGCCGGGGCTCACGGCGCCCCAGGTGGGGAGAAGAATGTCTGCTGTCCTTGCAGGGACGGCCAGGATGTCACCTGGGGAAGGACCGAGGTCTCAGCCATCCTGTGACCTTCGCCCTCACACTCAGGGACCTCGTCTGTGCAGTCGCTGCTCCGGGAGGGTCCCTGCCCCTCTGTGTCCTGCTGCTGACGCAGCAGCAGCTGGGTGGGGACCCAGACAGGCTGGGGCATCGGGCCGCTGCCCTGGGCCCGGGGGGCTCTCTCACCGCACACTCTCACTCCAGACTCCGGGAGGCTCCCGAGGGCGTCTCTGGTGTCCATCGCGCTGGGTGCCCTGCTGGTCTGCGTCCTGGCAGCTCTCACCTGGACTGCCATGTGCTGGTGGTGAGTCCCTCCTTCAGGTGGCAGGAGTTCACTTCCAGCCCACGGGGGGTGGTGGGCACTGGTGACGGCGCTGCTCGCCCCTCTGAGGCCGATGCAGACGATCGGCACACTCATACATGTGCACCCTCACACACTCCCACACTCGCACTCTTTCACTCATTTACACACCCACACACACTCACAGTCCTGCTCTGAAGTGGCCACTGTCGGTGTCTAATGGGACAGAACTTGTGAACTGACGTCGGTTTGCGTATCCGGTTCCACGTGTGTAAACACCATTGGTGTCATCACTATGCTGTTTCTGTCTATTTTACATTGACGACGTACTCTGAGCCAAGAACTGTGTCAGACAGTGATGCGTCCCAGGACTGAGGGCTCTCACACCCCAGCATAAATGGCGTAAATGATAGGATGACGCCTCCGTGGTGGCAGTGACGCACATGTGACGGACACGCGTGGTTCTCTGGACCAATGGCAGTGCTAACCGGTGTGCTTGCTCGTTCCCAGGACACGTCGTGACTCCCAGTTCTCGCTGCCGGTCACCGAGAGAGACGGGGCGGCTGCCTCCCCGTCGGGACGAGGGAGATGCCAGGACCCCCACTCTGCCCCGCGGGGGGTCCCGGAGCAGGTGGGCTGCCCTCTCGTCTGGTCAGAGCCCCACGGCGCGTGTCCGTGGAGGCCCGGGGGCACCGCACTCGGCCCCTCTGAGCGTCCGTTCTGCACGGTCCCTGCCCCTGGCACCTTCCTGCAGCTTCCTTCTCGCTCAGACTGAGTTTGCAGGGGAACCAGAGTTTGTCACCATTTTAACCCACTTCTAAGAAAGTGCAGACAGAGCCGGGTCCACGAGCCAGAGCAAAGGACACAGAAAAGCCTTTCATTACATGAACTGGTTTCACGGCTGGGGCCTTGGGCACCTGCCTCCGCATCTCTCAGGCAGCGGCTGCGGACGGCAGGAGGGGGACCCGGGACAGAGGGGTGGGCTGTCAAGAAAACTGCAGTAATTATGGGCCGCGTGGGGGTAAATCAGTCTGAACCTACTGTTTACCATGTTAATGTTCTGTGCAAGCCCCTGAATGATGTTGTATTAGAAAGTGACTTGTCGACACCTGGGGCCTGTCCAGAACGGGAGTCATGGGCTGACCCTGTGACCCCCAGAGCTAAAAGGCTGGTCCTGGGAGGCACTGCGTGCCGAGCAAGTCAGTGTGGGCGGCGGCCGCCCCGTGGGGCTGAGCCCACGCAATGCCGTGGGTCCGCGTGCTCAGCTCTCTCCTCTCCCACAGGGCCCGGCCTACAGGTCCCAGACCCTCCTCTGCGAGTAGGCAGCCGCCGCCCAGCCCTGGAGCCTCGGCTCTCAGAGGGGTCCCGAACCTCCGCCCAGACCACAGCAGGGAAACAGGCTTTGTTTATCGAAGCAGCGTCAGCCCAGCCTCTCCATCCCCTGTCAACTTCCGAAGAGTCGACATCAGCATCGTTCTCGTCTGTTTCGAGTTCCACGGACGGCGACCAGGACAGACTGACGGCCCGCCCACTTGCAGCCGGTGGCACTGTGACGAATGCGCCCTGTGGCCTTGGGGCCCGTCTGTCCTGAGCCTGTACCTTCCCACGAAAGGCATTCACGTGTCGCACACGTCTGTGAACCTTTTCTTCCAGCCAAACAAATGGGAAAACGGCATTTTCACCATACTCGTATCTCACTTCTCGCTTTAATTTTGTCCTCCTTCCATACTTCCTGCTTTCCCCCAAAGTTCCCCGCCCATCTGGCCAATTTCTCCACTGACCGTTGGGGGACAGGCCACCACACTGTCCCAGGGATGCCTGGCCCGCACTCCTCGCTCCTCCTGGGAAGAGAATGCTGATCTCAGGGGCAGACTGTGCTCGGGGACAAGGGCCACGCCTTGCCCTGGGGATCTGGTGACAAAGTGGGACTCGGTACCACGGCCTCCACTCCCCAGAGCCCTCCCTAACTTCTGTCCCCCACGGGCCCTCCCTGAGCAATGGCCTGATGACCCCTGGACTCACACAGCCTGGGGGGAGTTTCGGTCACTTCAGCCCCAAAGCTGTCATCGCCACCCTTGTTTTGCACAGGAAGTGGTGGAGTCCCAGAGGCTGAGCTGCCTGCAGAGGTGACAGCTGGCCTTCCTGAGCCTGCAGGCCCAGGGCGCCTTGTCCCTGTCCCCGAGGGCAGCGAGCCCTCCTGCTTGGGGACCAGGCACAGGGACACTGTGTCCACCCTGAACCCTGCCGGAACCCTGGCCAGCAATGCAGTGCGTGCCTGGAAGGCAGGACCTCTCGGTGGTGGCACCACGAGGGACCCTGGCGGGGAGGCCTGTGACGTCATCGCCTCCACACACAGATCGCCCATCACAGCCTCAGTCCTCCCAGTCCGTGTCCCTGGGTCGTTACCATGAACACGAAGCCCACAGGTGACTGAGTGAAGACACCCCACCACCTTCTGTCCAGCTCCGAGACTGAGAGGAGCTGAGCTCTCCCGCCAGACAGCGCAGGGAGCTGGGAAATGATGGACCTGGGCCCGTCGCTGCCGCTGCCGACTGCGGGGATGAGGGACACAGGCTCTGCCTGTCTGGGTGATTTCCACTGCGCCTGGAGCTGGCCTTGCAGCCCCGTGGGCCATCGGTGTAAGCCTTGCTGTCTGCCCACCAGGATCTCGTTTTGTCCTTACGTGTCTGTTTGACTCTGTGTGCCCAGTACGTCGCGCTAATGAACAAATAGCCAGAATCATCGCCCGGTGCCCGCGGGCACCAGAATAATCAAACACCGGGGGCTCGCAATCCTGATGCCGGGGAACTGGGCCACGGCTCGCCCCTTGGGGGGCCAACAGCATCCGGCGAGTAGCCCCGGAGGTCACTGCACTGTCTGATTCGTGGAGGGATGGCTGGGTCCCCGTGTGAAGAGGGGTGTGCGTCACAGTAAATCACAGTCCCAGTTGAGTCCCGAAGGAGCTGTGGACAGGCTGCTGGTCATCGGGGCCTGGACATCCCCGTAGGGTGCTGTTGGGACAGCACCTTCTTCCCTGTGAACCCACTTAGAGCGAGTGACAGTCCGACGGAGGCACCGCGCCACCTCCTGGCCCTGGGACGCCCTGTGAGGATGCTGGGAGTGAGGCTCTGGGTGTCGACTCCATCGCCAGCCTGTCCTCTGTGACAAAGGCAGACAGCACCACCTGCTGGCCGACCTGGGGAATACAGACTCGGCCGCCGCTTCCTACCGGCACTTTACCAGCATCTGATGAGAGCTGCTGCCCTCCGTTCCCATCCTTGCACAGGGGCAGCCTCTTGCTGTCCCTGCCTCTTGTCCCTGGAGTTACACAGCGCCACCTCATCCCTCAGCTGCCACTTGAGGAGCCCGGTTCCCTCTGGGCTTGCCGAGCCCAGGATGAGCTTCGACCCTCACACACCCAGGTCCAGCAAGGGCCCCACGCACAATGCAGCCCACTGACCTGCTGCTCACTCACTGAGCCCCCTCGCCCGGCACCTGCTGGGGGGCGGCAAGAAGGCACACAGCTGCCCCTCAGCACCCACAGCTGCAGCCATGCTGGAAACGAGGGCTGTGGCCCAGACCAGCCACAGCCTGGAAGGAGAGGGGGTGCAGGCAGGCAGGCAGGGGCCCCCCTCTCCCGGGTCTACCCACTTCCCTGCAGGGCCACCCACTGTGCCGGTCCAGTTTGGACCGGATGCAGATCTCATCCACATCACTTGCAGTGACGTTGTGTTACATGATGCTTGACCAGCTCTCTGGGTACCAGGTGGCCTAGTGACTCGGGCCGTGAAATCAGCCACACAGAGGGATCTGGAAAGAGTGTCCACAATCTCATCGGGAGGTCTAGGTGCCATCAGCAGACCAGGCAGGGAGCAGGCCCCTGTGGTCCTCCACTTCGGGGACAGCCGGGGGAAGGGAAAAACCTTGCAGACAGGGACCTCTGAAGGGCTGTTTCTCAGTGCAGGGCAGGGTCAGGTGTGCAGCTCTGCCCCCCCAACTGGGGAAGCCGAGAGGAGTGCAACCCAGGGAGAACCAGCTTGTGGGTGCCGGGTCAAGGTGGCCAAATTCCCAGACCCACAGTTGGCAGTCCCCCAGCACCCGGAGGCAGGGACATGGCCACCAGAGACCGCATCTCTCAGGTGACACCAAGACCAGGACAGGGTCACAGGCCCAGCTGGCTGCCAGCCCATCCTGTCCCTGCCAGGTCCTGGAACAGCCTCTAGAGGTCTCGGTGATGAAATAACATTGTTACCATATAAGTAGAGTAAATCTTAAATTTAAAGGGAAAATTTTAAATTTTAAAAAATTAAAAAATTTTTTAAATTAAAAAAATTTCCCCTTTAAATTTAAAGGGAAATGCAGTAAAACATTTAAACTACAGTATGAGGAAATTTAGCTTTAAGGAAACTTGCTAGAGTTCACATGTACCTTTTGTTAGACGTCTGTTAGGGTCTAATTTTGTTTCAACAGTGTTCTTTAAATGGTTTTGAATTTATTTTTAATTTGGAGAAAGAACATTCTGTGTCTGTTGATGCAGTGACAAGAACTGTGAAAAATAAAGGCCCTATCAAAAAATTGTGTAATTTAATTTTTTCACCATGCAGCAACCCGACTGTTCATTTTTGTTCACTGTTACTGTTGTTATAACTTTGGGGGGAGGTAGTGTGCACTGTTACAGGAGCATTCATTTCCAAAGAGTAAAACTTATTTTGCACGTTCTGTGTTCTCCAAGGGTGAGTCTCCAGCCATTTTGATTGGCTAGTGGAACGCAGGGGGCGGGGAAACTGTTCCCGGAAACGGGTGGGGGCCGTCCTGCGCTGGCAGCCGGGTGGAAGGTCACACCCACCCGGCCTTAGTTTTGCCTTCAGTCCGGGCAACACGCCGGCGCCTCAGCCTTTCTGCTGAACAGCACAAAATGCAAAATGTTGCCAGACTTGGAGACGTTGTCGCAAAGGCGACTTTTTAGGGGAGGTACCTACGGCGCACGTGCGGTGGGGCGTCGCCCCCAGGATGACATCCAGGCCTCAGTGGTGTTTCGGCTCCAGGCGCAGGAAAGCAGTTAGGGCGGCGCAGACCTCGGGCCCAGCTGCACTGACTAAGGACCCCCTGCCCCCGGGCCTGGCCAATGGGTGGAGACCAGGACCCCGACAGGACTCACCTGGAGTCCTGGAGCATGTTACACGGGGACCCTCCCCGGGGCCTGCCTCTAAAATTTCTGCCCTTAAAAGCCCTCGGGCCGCCCTGGCCAGGCTGGGCGGGTGGGGGCAGAGGGGCTCGGTGCGCCGGGACAGAGAAAAGCTGGGAAGGACGACGGAACGAGCCCTGAGCAACGGGAAGTAAAAAGTCAGAATTCAGCTCTGTGTGGTGCCAACGTGCAAAGTGAAACTTTGACATCGAAAACATTTAAAAATAAAACGAACTACTAAAAACTGATTTTTTTTTTTTTACAAATGGGATTGTGGAGAAATTCTGTTTTATTTTTCTGTTTCTACTGTAATGTGGATTCTCCCCCCAGGGAAACACCCTGTGGCAACATGATACACCTGCTTCTACAAGTCCAGCCGGAGTGAGCGAGCGGGTCCCAGGTGACTGCAGTGTTCCTGTCGGGTGAACCGCCTCCTTTCCCCGAGGCTGACTCGCAGCCTACTGCGTGCATGCGCCGCACCTGCGTTTTGATTGCCCCGCGGAGGCGGGAATCAGGGCTGAACGGTCTGCAGCTGCGGACCCTCCGCCGCCTTTGCTCTCCTGCGCCATCTGAGAACTGCAGTGGGGTGGGAACAGAAGTCCCTGTGCAGCAGGCTGTGTGGGGGCGGGCGCGTCCCGGAGCAGGTGGCTCGTGAGACCGTCACCACCGCCTCTTCCCTTCAGACCTCCAAAGACACCGGCCTCTGGGATTCACAGCTGACAAGAGCCGAGTGCTTCTACACAAAGGTCCTCGTCCCAACCTACTCAAGGTCGAGCTTTTCCTGCCTCCGCGCTTTGGGAGGTTGCTTTCCAGCCCAGGGCCACCTGCTGCTCAGGGGGCTGCGGGCCACGACGGCCAGACAGAGAAAGCCCTTGGGGCCATGCGCCTCCTTCAGGCTCCGGGCTCCAGTGCTGCCGGCTCTGAGTCTAAATTAGTGAATGAACAGTCTGTAAAAACAGTGTGTCTTTAACAGAAACATAGAGCACAAGGTTGCACCCTAGTCGGTGGATGAACACGTGAGCTGGCGGTCACTGGACTTTGCGGGACAGAAGGCCTGGGAACAAAGGGCTGACCCTGAGGCGGAGGTGACCTGCATGTGGCCGAGTGTGCACACATGGTCTCCCTGCAACCACAGGGAGAAGGGACACTCTGCAAAAGCAGGGCAGGAGGCCTGGTGGGAAAGCCCCAGGTCAGTGCACCCAGGTGTGCCCCGAAGAGTGGAAATCCCGGGGCAGGAGCTCAAGGCCGCCAGGGTCACAGGAACAAGCACAGTGACCTCATCAAACAGGGAGAAAGGGAATCTCCCA